AACATAATCCAGTAAGAATGAATGCGATCACCAGGGCTATCCATATCTTTGTATAAAAAATGCTATTCTCTTATTACTAATTAATATGATATAAAAGATATTGTTTATTAAAATTCGAAAATGATCCAAAAATCGCCCAGAATATATCATATAGTTTAACGTGTTTTATCTTGTTTCTCTTTGAATTCCAATTTAAGATCAAGTAGAAACATAATCCAGTAAGAATGAATGCGATCACCAGGGCTATCCACATCTTTGTATAAAAAATGCTATTCTCTTATTACTAATTAATTTGATATAAAAGATATTGTTTATTAAAATTAAAACATGACAATAGAAATTACTAGAAAGAGTAGTAATATTTAACATAAATCAAATACTAGAAACTTTNTGCATTTCGCTTAAAACACACTCTTACTAGTGCGATAATTTGGCGACAGATGTATTCGAAAAGTGAATCCATTTATTTCATAATAAGTACATATAATTTTGTTGTGTACTGGCACAATGAAGTGACGTTTTTCTCAACACTGGGCTAGTTGAGAAAAACGTTTTTTCTCAACTACAAATACAAATCCATTTATTGCATCTATGCATTTGTATTAAATATTATCGTACTTGCAGATATTGTCAAATTTAAGTTAGTGTTAAAATCGGTTAGCATCAACTCGGAAAAAATAGTTTGAGTATAATTCAGAATGAAATAACAGAAAATATATTAGTGAAAATATAATATAATAATTTTTATTGAGTAATAAATGATATACATGATTAATATAGCCTTTAATACATTTTGAACAAAGCAGTATTTTTTCGAATGTCATAAACAACATTAAAAGTCGTTTGATCATAAATTCAAGTAATATTTGATATTATTAAGGCTATACTATTTAAGCGTAATAAAAGTATATTATTAACATTACTCCAACATTTTCTATGTCTATATCAGATGCGACGTATGTCACGCAACATACTTGCAGTGTAATATGTGGAAAAATTAACCCGTCAATGAACAGGAGTAGAATAAATTATATGTAGATGTTGTCGAAACCGTGTTGTATTTGCTTATTGTGTACTGGCACAATGAAGTGACGTTTTTCTCAACACTGGGCTAGTTGATAATGTAAATGTAATGCTAGTTGATAAATGTAATAATATACTTTTATTACGCTTAAATAGTATAGCCTTAATAATATCAAATATTACTTGAATTTATGATCAAACGACTTTTAATGTTGTTTATGACATTCGAAAAAATACTGCTTTGTTCAAAATGTATTAAAGGCTATATTAATCATGTATATCATTTATTACTCAATAAAAATTATTATATTATATTTTCACTAATATATTTTCTGTTATTTCATTCTGAATTATACTCAAACTATTTTTTCCGAGTTGATGCTAACCGATTTTAACACTAACTTAAATTTGACAATATCTGCAAGTACGATAATATTTAATACAAATGCATAGATGCAATAAATGGATTTGTATTTGTAGTTGAGAAAAAACGTTTTTCTCAACTAGCCCAGTGTTGAGAAAAACGTCACTTCATTGTGCCAGTACACAACAAAATTATATGTACTTATTATGAAATAAATGGATTCACTTTTCGAATACATCTGTCGCCAAATTATCGCACTAGTAAGAGTGTGTTTTAAGCGAAATGCATATTTGAAATTTAGTTTCTAAACGGTCTTTAAAACTCAAACATTTCATGCAAAACTTTCTGTAGAAGATGACGTTATTTTGATTTAATTTCATTGTAAGTTGCAAGATATTACACATTCTCGATTAATGTAGGTTTTCTCTAAACAGAACGGTTTTACTCTAATTCTACGTTACAATACTAGAACTGCAAGTAATAAACTACAGATGACAGTATTTTCAAGCCAGAAGGTTTCACCCCGGAAAGTTTACATATCTATGGGCCTGACAAGAATAAAATAGCAAATTTGACAATATCTGCAAGTACGATAATATTTAATACAAATGCATAGATGCAATAAATGGAACTGAGCAGCATTGTCTGATAATAAAGACATTGTTTTATACAATTAATCTGTTACAAAATATAAATCTTGCATTTCATAATTTCATTTGATCTTTTATTTATAATAAGAAATCTGAACTAAATTGTACAAAACACAATACATTTAAAACGAGGCCATAGAATGGTAGAATAAACTAAAATACGAGTTTTATTACGGGATATTATTTACTTGGAAATCCGAATTATCTCAAGTAGGATTTTAACTTTCGTCACATGAATTTAATGCAATCACTCTGTCTCAACGCAATTGGGGTTAGGACTAAAGTAGCTCGATATGTGATGTCTTTGAAATTGGGAATTTTCCGTTTTATCTTTTCCACAGTATCAAATATAATACAGTTGTACCATACATTATTCAACAATTACAGTCATTTCGAGAAGTTTAGAAGAATTTAACTTTATCAGAATGTGCCAACCTTAAATGATGATAACTAGATGAAAGAAGAAACTATGAAAAAACTAAATAAGAAAGTATTTAGCATTGTCTTTAAGACTATTTTTATCTAAAAATATTAATTTATAAATAATCCAGCATTGTCACAAAAGCAGAGTAAAAACGAATTAAGCGTGGAACAAAAAGTTATAATTATTGATTTACATGAAGAAAATATTAAGTAAAGAGAAATGGGAAGGAAAGTGAATTGTTCGCAGTTTAAAGTGCAAAACATAATTCAAAAATTTAATGAAACTGAAAGTTAAAATGTTGAAAAATACTCTGGCTATGAAAAATTTATTTAGAAAGTACAGAAATCAGCACTTAGAAAAATTGTAAAACAATAAACATGCAAGCTTTCAACAAATATCAGAGTTTAAATCTGTGGTTGGAAAACCAATTTTAACAAAAACAATTCGCAATTATTCGAATGAGATGGGTTGCAATGCAGCCAAACCAAGATAGGAACCTCTTCTGAGAAAACTTCAAAAGAATAATCGATTAACTTGTACCAAAAAACTATGTTTTTACACCCGAAAAATAGCAAAGTCATTTTAGTGACAACAATATATTTTCTGTTAATATAAATTACAAAGGAAACGTTTGGCGCTTGAAATGTAAAACCAACAATCTAGATTGTTTAACGAGTCATTAAATTTCCCACTAAAGATATGGTATGGGTTTCACTAGATTGTAATAAAACTTGTAAAACTGTGAGACAATAAATGGTGATATTTTAGATTATCTCCTCATTTCAAAAATGTAAGACCGTTTTCAAGATGATGATATAATCTTTATACAGGTTGAAGATAAAGCTCATGCATGCAAAATGTCAAAGAATGGTTACATTAAAAAAATAAAGCTCTTCGATTGGTCTGAAATTCACCAGTCTTGTCTGCCCCGATTGAAAACATTTGGTCAATTTGTAGATATGACTGAAAGAATCTAACCCAACTAATAACAAGATTTGAAAACAAAATACAATATATTGTGATCTGAAATTAGTTTTGATCAATGTCAATCAGTAACTAATAATATGCCAAAAAATAAAATCTATAAATCAAAATAAACGAGAGTTAACCAATTATTAGAATATAATATTTTGTACTTATTGAACACGATTTCAAATCAGTGAATGATCGAAAAATTTAGACTAAGTAAAAAGTTGTGGCTCTTTAACATTTTATTTAGAAATTAATTAATACAGTATTTTTAGATAAAAATATAGCTGAAAGACCAAGCTAAATATTTCCGCATTTAGTTTTTTCATAAATTCATTTCACCTAGTTACTGCCATTTAAGTGTTTGAACATTGTGNCAAAATGTAAAAGAATGGTTACATTAAAAAAATAAAGCTCTTCGATTGGTCTGAAATTCACCAGTCTTGTCTGCCCCGATTGAAAACATTTGGTCAATTTGTAGATATGACTGAAAGAATCTAACCCAACTAATAACAAGATTTGAAAACAAAATACAATATATTGTGATCTGAAATTAGTTTTGATCAATGTCAATCAGTAACTAATAATATGCCAAAAAATAAAATCTATAAATCAAAATAAACGAGAGTTAACCAACTATTAGAATATAATATTTTGTACTTATTGAACACGATTTCAAATCAGTGAATGATCGAAAAATTTAGACTAAGTAAAAAGTTATGGCTCTTTAACAATTTATTTAGAAATTAATTAATACAGTATTTTTAGATAAAAATATAGCTGAAAGACCAAGCTAAATATTTCCGCATTTAGTTTTTTCATAAATTCATTTCACCTAGTTACTGCCATTTAAGTGTTTGAACATTGTGAAAGAGTTAAATTACTCCGAACTTTTTAAATAAACTGTAGTTTTTACAACACAGCACGTTCTGAATATCTTGTACGACATATGCCAACCAGGTATATTATATGTAATTATTTATGTGTAAATAGGTAAGTTCTATACATATGCAATAAGTTAAAGATTTTATATATATTATTGTAAGCATGTTAGATATTCTTACGATAAATTTCTTTATAATATAAAAATTATATAAACAGGTTTTAGTAGTTTTATTTCATACTGTTTGAATTATTAACATGAAACTTTATTTTTAAGTTTTTGGGCTAATTCAAGGAGAAACATAAGTATTGACAACACATAACCTATGAAAAGAAACATGAAAGCTCCAGTTAAATTTTCAATTGAAAGTGGTTGGAATACGGCGTCATCTTTCTTTATGAATAGTTTCTTATTTCTAACTAAATTCAATTGGATTGTATGCGCATGTTCATCAAGACCGGCTTCTATTATTCTGCGATTTCTATAAAAAATTAAATTTTACATTAGAAAATGAAATAATAAAAGAAGGAATAAAAATTCAGAAATGAAGAACTTAGAATTTTATATGTTTTACGTACACAATATTTATTTCCTTCTTATACGGAAAACTTTTAATTAGGCCATATACTTCGTACTTAACATACAGACTATCCTTTGACATCAAATAGTCATCTGCTCCTAATGCATTTACGTACAACAATCCATCCAATTCATACTCAATAAAAGCATGTTTAGGTTTCATAAGATGTTCATATACATCGTATTTTGATTTCATCCTTAGCAGTTTATCTTCTGTTCTTAATTTTTTAAGCGCCAATATTAAAGGCGTCTCTTGTGTTGCAAGCTGTTAAAATTAACATTTGTAGTTCACTTATAATAATAAAAGAATAAAATTAATCATAACTCCTTTTCAAAAGTTTAAAATCTTTGTTATTAAAAGTATAGTATTGATATTTACAAGCGAAATACCATTTACACATACAGAAATGTAAATTTCTACTTATTTCCTTGATTAAACAAATTATATACATTTTTAAACTTATTTATTTGTTTAATCAAGGAAATAAGTAGAAAGTTTGTAAATAGTATTTCGCTTGTAAATATCAATACTATATTTTTAATGACAAAGTTTCTAAACTTTTAAAAAGAAATTCTAGGAAGTTAAATCTTACCTTAATGCGCTCGACTAGATCCATATTATATATATAAGACGCTGTATAATGTCCGTTTTTCATTTCTTTTATCAATTCAGGAAACGTTTCAGGCACATATTCATAACCGGTGAAAGCAAGAAAGGACATGAGAGCGCCACTGTAACTGGATACTATAATAAACATTGCGATTAACCAACCGAAAACCATTATTCTGCAGTATCCACTAACTTCAAATAACGAGCTGCCTACAAGAAACGAAGGTAAATAATTTTCTATTGTAATATAAATAGAAGTATTTATTGAAATATCATTATAAATATATAATATAAATCTGCTTCGTACCTTTATTCGAAAATGATCCAAAAATCGCCCAGAATATATCATATAGTTTAACGTGTTTTGTCTCGTTTCTCCTTGAATTCCAATTTAAGATCAAGTAGAAACATAATCCAGTAAGAATGAATGTGATCATCAGGGCTATCCATATCTTTGTATAAAAATGTAATTCTTTTATTACTAATTAATATGATATAAAAGATATCATATTTTAATTTTAAAAAACAAGAATAGAAATTACTATAAATACTATTAATATTCAATAGAAATAAATATCTGAAAATTTTACATTACATTTTTTCATAATTTATATTTATTGAGAAATATATATTAAATATTTTATTGCAAATATTAAAATTTACTATAATATAAAAAGTCGACAAAGATTTTTAAAAGAAAAATGTGATTGTAATGTAAATGTGGTCTGTCAGTTAGTAGAATTATAATTTCAAAAAATGTTGGAAGATATTAAAGTTCATAAGATGAGTAAGGCATATGTTGAAAAGCCATTTTGGACTTTTTGACTTTAGCAACGATAGTAATATTTATGAATCAACAAACTAAAGAAATGCAGATTAAATGTTGCAAAAGGCCGCATAATTCATACTACAGCACTTGACGCAATATTGGACAATTCATGCTAGCCGTCACAACATTCTTCATGTTTTTCTTTTATAGCTGTGGCTTAGAATGACAACAACTCTCGGTAGAATCGTAAGGAATGCAATGATTCCCAACATTCCCTGAAATGAGTTTCCAGTAGTCATTTGATGTAATAAAATTTTGCGGCATTTAGACAGACCTTGGATTGTATATTTTCTAATGTCAACTAAGAGCTTTCTTTCCTTTTATTGTTTACTCTTGCAATGCAAATTTAATCTGATAAACATAAAATAGTTAAGGGAAATGTCATATGAAGTTTGATAACTTAAAACCTCGTAATCGCTACTATAGACGAAGTGAGTTTTATGTCATAACTGCACAGGTCCTTAGTGTTTGAATACTCTGCAAAAATCTTGAAAACATGCGACAAGTAAAATTTGCTGTACTAAATTACTTTTGCTCCTGTAAAATGCGATTTTTGCCTTTTATCGATTTTCGGCAATCAACGACGAAAAAGCAAATGTTTTTACGCAAAATAAAAATTTATAATGGATTATCTTCTATCTCATATGATTAGCATCTGCGTTTTTAAAAAGTTAATAATACGCAGTTTCGAATGACGCGCATCAATTTAGTATACACAAATAAAATAATTTGTATTTTTGAAAAAGAAATAAAATAATACTTACCCATAGGCCAAAAGGAAATATTACGGCCAACATTTTAGATAATTCGTTGGGTTTAGATGTAAAAAATCTTACTCTCGAAACATCTATAACATCGCTGTAATCTATTGCTTCGAGTTTATCGTAGGTAATTCCTAATGGCAATGCTAGATCCGATTCCTAAAAATATGTTATTGTATAAAAATACTACAAATATTTAAATCAATATTAATTATAAAAATAAATACGTTTCTTTGAATAAATCCGATGCGGCCTATCCAAGAATTACGTAATTTAAGTCCTCCAAAACTAAGTTCACTTATCTTCAAGCTAACATTAGAAATAAAATTATTAGTATTCGAAACATAAAATTATTCAATTCATAAATAATAGTTTTTTTATGTGTATACTGTAACCCTTCGCCGATTATGCGTTTATAACATTTCGAGAATGAGAGTAAATAAGAATATACCTGTAATGGATTTTTCAAAAATCGTTATTTAATAGAGCTAATTGTACATAGTAATTAAACGCTGACAACTCATTTTCATTAAGAATTTTCGATAAAAAACTAATAAGTTCAGAAATCGAAAGAGATTCGAGATTCATTATAGAAAACCTTTCAAGTATCTATGCTTTTTCTAATCGGCTTTACTAATTTGTTAAGCGTTTACTCATCTTTATATAGCCTAAATCTTTTTCTACAGAAAATGTGATATAGGAGAAACACTTTTGGATTAGAGTTTATGCTTCTTAGTATAGAATGCAAATAAACATTGTGATAAGATTTAATTTAAGATTTTGGAGTTCACTCATACCCTTCCTTCCACGAAATGAACGTGAACGATTTTTAGCCGATTGAATATCGTGTTTTGTAACTTGAATAATGACAAACATTTGCTTTAATCATCATTGAATAACATTATATTGAGCTGTAAGCATTTTTTGTTTGCATCTGTTTCATTTACTGAAAAATATTTTCACCATCGCTTAAAAGTTGTCAGGTAAAATTCCTCCAATTATTCTTTGAAATTCTGCGTTGGCTTTTGATGAATGAACGTAAACTTTCTTTAAAACACTCCCAACATTTTCATTTAATTAACATTAAAGAACTCCAAGACTGTAAGTAATATATTACATAAGTACTATATTATTTTCACATTGTACTACTACAGTTTACAACAAAAATATAGGCAAAATATACATTGTACTGTACATTTTGCGTACATTTTTGTTGTGAACTGTAACTGAATTAGTTTAGTTTTAGCTGATTCTAGCACAATTAACTTTATTTATAGTTCTACGGTGCAATTGTGAAGACTCTCCGCAGTGGACGATGTAAATGTCGCTTAACTGAGTGGTGCCATCATAACTAACTTTAACTCTGTCAACGCGCTGTCTTCCTGTGACATCATTACTTACCCACGAACTAGAATATATTGCATATAGTGTCAGTATCGACGCCATGTTTAAAAATGTTGAATACAAGTCTGCCAATTTGATTTTAGTCAAGAGTGTGTGCTACTTGCACTGTATAATGGAATGGAGCTAGAATATTCTAATTTGTTGTGTATTAAGTGTGTTAAAAGAATGGAATGGTGGTAGAGGAGGAGGTGGTATTATGGAACCCCAATTACATTTTAGTGAATTGTAAACAAGGTATCATAACTACACCCACATTTTTTGTACAAAAAGTACTTGTAACTATTAAACTAAATGTTCCTAATTGAATTTTTCGTTAGTGTAACTATAAGTATGGTTTTTGAAGGCTTTTGTACAAAAAGTCAGAAAGTAGGCTTAGAGAAAATCGGGTGGTAATATGGAACCTTACCGTATATTTTCAAAAAATGCTTTAATGTAGCCAAAAACAAATAGGAAACTACAAAGAATGTTAAATAATTACAAAATTATTTACTCCAATGTATTTTAACGCAAAAATGATTTAATATTTTAAAATTAGTCTATATGTAAACAATATATAT